GGCTGCGGAGGACCCGGCACCAGAGTCCTGACATCTTGCCAGCCAGCATCCCTAGCTGAGGATTCTGACAAGCTGTCATTGGTTCCCAGTCTTATTTTGGTCTTAGGGCATGCACTCCCGCCAGAGCAAGAGAGAAAGAAACAGAAAGTGAGAAGTCACCCCCTAGGGGGATGGCCACACCGCAGTCCCGTCTCTTCCTGGGATCCTGGGCACATATGCGCACGCGCCTAGCATGAGTTTCAAGCCACTGGGTTTGGGACTAACCGTGATCGGCCATGTGGGAGTCCAGTGATATAACCACTACGTCATCTGCTGGCTCTTAAAGATTAAAAAAAACTATTTAGTTTTGTTATTACCATTATTTTTCATTTGACCAGAGAGACAGAGAGAAAGGGAAAATGAGGAAGCAAATCGCCAGGTCCAGGACTTGAACCAGTCAGCTACATTCCAGTGCCTTAACCACCATGCCACCTGCCAGCCCCACTCTGTCATTCTTGAGATAGAGCCCATGATTTTTAGCCTGGCACTCGAGGCTCTCCTCTGTGTCCCCTGCCAATCTCTCCAGCTTTACCCACCTGCCCCCCATCCTGGATCCTGAAGCTGTCCCAGGTTCCCAATAGCCAGCATCTGGTGCAATCCTAATTCTCCCAGCCTTAGGCTTTTCCTGCACCCAGGCCCGCCATGGGCTGCGCCACGGGCTGCCTGACAGATGCTCAGCCCTCAGCTTTCTGTTCAAGCGTCACTTCTCGTTGAAACCTTTTCTAACTTTCTAGGGAGAGCTGAGCTTACTCCTCAGGGCCCCTTTGGCATTTGTCAAGAAATAGCAATCTCTGGGACCAACAGTTAGTGTAATGGCTATGTTGCTGGACTCCCATGTCTGGACTCCCATGTAGTCGACTGTGATTCGAGTCCCAGACCCGGTGGCTTAAAACTCATGTCGGGCACGTGTGCGTGTGTGCCCAAGATCCCGAGAGGAGGATGGAGAAGAAGGGATTGCAGTGTGGCCATCTCCCCGGGGGGGTGATTTCTCTCTTTCTGTCTCTGCCTGTCTGGCGAGCCCAGGCGCCCTATAGCCAAAACCTCTCCAAAAAAAAAAAAAAGATTAGCAATCTCCCTAGAAGGGAGCACTTGCCAAACGTAATCTGGGCCCCCCAGGGGTCGGAGGTCCACAAAAGTAACAGCTCTGTGGGTGAGGGAGGCATCTCATTTATGTCTGTACCCCCAGGGCCCAGCCTAGAAGTGACAGCTGAAAGAGGGCAGGTGCACGCTAGAAATGACGGGTTCCTCTCGTTTTAGGATCATGGTTTTGGCAGGAGACACGCTGCCCATCGAGGTGTACTGCCACCTCCCGGTCATGTGTGAGGATCGGAACTTGCCTTACGTCTACATCCCGTCCAAGACGGTAAGGAGCTCTGCGGCCTTGGACAGCATCAGGGTCTGGGCCAGAGACCTGAGTGTTGGGGTTCCCACCGGAGTGTTGGCCCCTCTGCTCCCTGGACCGTGAGAACGAAAACACGTGAACGTGCTTTGTGAACCAAGCTGCTGCACCTGTGTCTGCAAAGTACCGGTCCTACCTGTGGGGTCAGCCTGGTGTTGCTAGACCATGGTTTGAAAGCTTGGGTTAAATTCGGCAACCCGTTCAAATGTTTTTACATAGAATGTGCTGGGGGCTAGGTGAGGCTGTTGGGTCATTGGTTGGGGCTCTGGCATCAGACTGCAGGGCCTTTTTCCAGACACCCCTTCTTTCCCTTCTCCATAGGACCTGGGGGCAGCCGCGGGCTCCAAGCGCCCCACCTGTGTGATCATGGTCAAGCCCCATGAGGACTACCAGGAGGCCTACGATGAGTGCCTGGAGGAGGTGCAGGCCCTGCCCCCACCCCTGTGACGAAACCCAGGCAGCTCCGAGCGCTGTTCCGTGAGGGTGAAGCCACGTCCTCCCCATCAGTGCCGTCTCCTGCCGAGCTTGAAGACGGGTCCAAGAATGAAGTGTGGGAAGTAAATGCGAAGACTAAAGTGGGCCGAGGCCGTGGGTGCTCTTGCCAACAGCTGCTCGTGGGACTGAGGAGCTGGCAGGCAGGAGTGGAAGCAGCCCTTCCCCCCGAGAACCCAAGGACTCTCAGCCTTCAGGGCTCAGTGCTGCTGCCCACCGAGGGCTTCACCTCCCCCAGCAGGCCACATAGGGGTGCAAGACGCGGCAGCAGGGCCGGTGCCCTTCCAGATGCCTGCAGCCTTGTGTTAGGGACCCCCGGTCCTCTCCCCTTGTCCCCTCAGGAGCCTCCAGCGCCACTGTGATGTTCATGGAAGCATTACCGACCCACACAGTAAATTTGGAAACAGGCTGAATGCAAAACCTCAGGATCTTCCCTTTACCCAGTGGCCCTGGAAACCCAGCCCTTTCAGACATGAGCCTGGGTCCCTTCCTGCTGTCGGGCCCCGCCCAGGGCTCCTCAGTACGGTGACCAAGCTTTGTCAGACGCCTGAATAAACGAAAGAGCTTGGTGAGGGTCAGACCTGGCTCAAAGACCAAGCTTTTGTTTGCAAGCTGTAAGCCGTGCTGTGCGAGTCATTTCGTTTTCATTGTCCCATACAGTTGTGTCTAATACGGAAGGAAGACGGTGCCCAGGGCAGAGATGCCAGCCATGCTCTTCCTGCCTGGGCGCCAGCTGGCCACACCCACTGCTGGTGGGCAGCGGCAGTTCCTTGTCAGTACTGCTCAAAGCTGGCCAGAGCAAGGGCTGTGGGTGTATTTGCTCAGAGTTACAAAACATCGGTGTTAGGTCACCTGGACCATTCACAGTGGGAAACAGGGCCTACAGTTGAGGCTATATGGTGGGGAGGGGGGCACGGCTGGCCACTTTGGGCTGGGAGGGCAGCAGTGGGCACAGGTGCTGCGTGCTCGGGAGAGAACTGAGGGCAGGGGTGCAGGGATCCTGCTGCTGAGTGGAGTACAGGGGCCGCAGCTCTCAACCAGTCAAGGAGCCAGCGGCCAGGTGTGGTTGGTCCATTCCCCCCAGCCAAGGCCTTGGCCCGTGGTAGCACTCCTCTCCAGGCGCTCGGCGATGGACCCAGTCCACTGAAGCCAATGACCGTGCCAAGGCAGGCCACGGCTCGGGTAAAAACCCCCTTCCACAGAATTCCTGGTAGGAGTCAAAATATGATGCGTTTCCCATCTGCTGGGTTCTGCTCCATGGGCGGGCGGGCCTGGGGACTTACTTCCCTCCGTTTATGAGCTTGTTGAGCGCATCGCGGGAGATGACGTGGCCGCAGGTGAGCTTGATGGGAGGGTTGGAATCCGACGTCTGCTGGCGGAGGATGGGGCAAGCGAACACCGAGTGGTACCAGCACTTCATGCCCAGCTCAATCTCAATCTGGGGGGCAGCGAGGGCGTGAGTCCCACTTCCGGTCACAGCTGCCCCCACCCCGGGTGCCTGCACGCCGCCCCCAGGCCTCACCGGGAGCTCGTCCTTGTGACTCCAGACGCCGGCGCACTGCCTCTGCTCAATCACAGCCTTGATGTTCATCAGCACCGGCAGGGCCACGCAGCCGGACGCAAAGCTGCAGGGCAGGGCGGGCCGCACGGCTCAGACGGGACAGGCCGGGACAGGCCGGTCAGGGCCCGCACCATGGCTGCGGCAGGGACCTGGTGCAGTGCCAGGTGAGCCGTGATGAGTGTCCAGCTCGAGACGGTCGTTCTAACAGATCCCCAGGTTAGAGCATCCTTGGGCAAGTTAGGGACGCTCCAGGGGCCAGTATCTCACCCAAACCGCTGGGAAGTCCTTAGTGTGACCCCTGGGGACGTGAGCAATTCTCTAACAGTGGTCATCAACTTAGCTGGGCTGCGAGTGCAAGAGCCCCTATGGCACAGGCCTGTCCTGGTGACCGAATCACCCAGTGTTCTGGGAAGTGTGCTTCAAACCCTGGGTCCGTCATAACAATTAGCTGGCGCGGTCAGTTTGCCGTGCCGAGTGCAGGGTTAGGTTCCTTGACCAGTCTGAGTGAAACGCACTGTGACAACTGTCCTCCACAGCGGAGCGCGTGGCTCTCAGGCCAGGCCCAAGTGCCCTTACCTTACTCCTTTGAGGAAGTCAGCTCCTTGAGCCTCCACCTGCTTAGGTTAACACGAAGCTCAAGTGCCCTGCCTTCCAGGGCTGCTGCGAGTGCTGAGAGCAGAGCGTTACCGGGGAGACGTGCTGCATGGCACTCAGCACCCATCTCCCTGAAGTTTGCAAGGGTGATTGAAAGATGAGGGAGTGGGCTGGAGGGGCACAGCTCACTCAGGAAGGCTTTGTAGCAGGGCAGGGGTGCAGGGCAGGAGGGGCAGGAGCCTTACTCCAGAGCCCTTGCAAACAGGACCCGGGCCTCTGCCACTGGCCTCAGGCTACAATGCCTTCCTCTCTAAGAAACGGGCCTCCCAGCTCGAGGGTGGCTGAGAGCTGGGCTGGAGGCACCAAGCACATGGCAGGCCCTTGGTGAAGTCTCCCCTCATACCTCCCGCTTGGGCTGCCTCCCACGGCTGGGCTGTACCTGACGCTGAGAGGGGACTCCACAGAGAGCCCCAGCAGGGAACAGGCATCCCGCGTGAAGGTCTCACAGATCTCTGCCCAGTGGCTGCTGTCCAGGAGGTGGCAGTAGGGCGACTTCTCCAGGCCCAGCCGCAGGTACACCAAGCTGCCCATCATCACCTGGATGTCTGCAAGGCAGCCAGGGCAGCAGCTCAGGGCGAGCAGGGGCGAGGGGCCATCCCTAGGGCACGGGGGGCTGTCCAGCGCTGTGTTGGGACCCACGCAGAGCCCAGACAGAACAGAATTGCCCTCAGGCATCTCAGACTCAGTGGGCAGTGGAGACCCAGGGCTGCTGCTGCAGGCCAGGAGCGAGCTTCACCTAGCAGCCCAGGTAGGAAGGTGAGTGCCCGTGCAGCTCTTCCAGCCCTCCCGCCTCATCAAGGACTGAGTCTCAGCTGGCACTGATGGCTCTACCAGCACTAGCCAACCTCCCCTCCTTTTTAGCTTTTGACACAGGACGCATGCGCTCACCAGAGAGGCAGTAAGATGGAAAAATGAGAAATCACCCTTGGGAGTGGCCATGCAGCAGTCCCTTCTGCCCTATTCTCCCGGGATTTGGGGTGCACACACACACATGCACCCAGTGTGGTTTTCAAGCCACCAGGTCTGGGACATGAACCATGATTGACCATGTAGGAGTCCAGAACCCTAACCTGCTAGTCCCACTAATCTTCCTTTTTTTTCTTTCTCTCTTTTTAGAGGTTTCTGCTATAGGGCGCATGTCCTCGCCAGACAGACAGAGAGACAGAGAGACAGAAAGCGAGAAATCATCCCCCAGGGGGGGATGGCCATGCCGCAATCCCTTCTCCATTCTCCTCTCGGGATCTTGGGCACACACACATGCACGCCTGGTGTGAGTTTAAGCCACCAGGTCCAGGACTCGAACCGCAGTCAACTATGTGGGAGTCCAGTGACATAGCCATTACGCTAACTGCTGGTCCCATAATCTTCCTTTTTAATACCAGGTCCCAGGCTCAAAGTTTTCAGGAGGGAGCAGCATCTAGCTAAAATATTTAAATACTGCTGGGTTTTCATAATACGTTTTTTCATAATACTTATTTTTATATTTTTATAAGTTTTTTCTTGGGGCCAGCAGGTGGTGTCATGGTTAAAGGTGCTGGACTACCACATTGCCAGCCATAGTTGTACCTTCATAATACATTTTTTCATAATACTTATTTTTATATATTTATGTTTTTTCTTGGGGCCAGCAGGTGGTGTCATGGTTAAAGGTGCTGGACTACCACATTGCCAGCCATAGTTGTACCTGGAGGCTTGTTTTCTTATTTTCCCTCTGTCTCTCCCTGGTCAAATTAAAAAATAGTAATAATAAGGTTAAATAAAATAACTCTTTAAAAAAGAAAGTATTTTTTCTTTAACATTATTTATTAATTATTATTTTTCTATTTGTTTTAGGGCACATGTGCTAGCCAGACAGAGAGAGGGAGAAAGCGAGAAAGCAAGCCACCAGATCCAGGACTTGAACCACAACTGGCCATAGGGGAGTATAGTTAGTGCCTTAAGTACTAAGCTACCTGCTGGCCCTCATAATATTTACTCTAGAATATAATTTAGCATGAGTGAATCTAGAGGAAGAGTTATTACAGGCTGAGTATCTCTTACCCGAAATGCTTTGAGAACACAAGTATTGGATCTTGGAATAATTGCACATATGGAATTACTTGTCTTGGGAATGGGACCCAAGCCTAAACGAGAGCCCACTTGTATTTCACGTATATTTACATGCATGGCTTGAAAGGAGTTTCATGCAGTATTTCTAATAATGTACATGAACCCCTCTGTGTGCTATTGAAGGGGCTCTGGGAGTGCTCAGCTGAGATACTGGGGCAGCACCAGGCCCAGCACCTGGGCCCTTACCCCGCTGGTGCAGTCGAGCAAAGGGCTGGAAGTGCCGAGCGTAGCTGAGGGCCTCCAGCTGCTTCTCGGGGCCACCTGCCAGGAGGCGGATGAAGTGCAGTCGGTGCAGCTTGAACTCCAGGGAACTGTTGAGCTCCAGCAGGCGCTGCCTGTGGGCAACAGCCCACCTGGGAAGAAAGGGTCGGTTTAGTGTGGGAGGGTGGGGGTAAGGGGCCCTGGGCGATCAGGACTGAGCGGACGGCTCCGAGAGCTGCTGTGAGGTCCTGAGACAGGGCTGGAGGCATGTGGGGTACGCTGGGTGAGACGGAGCCCGCAGGCAAGCCCTGGCCCCGAGAGTCAGGCAAAGGGACTCCTTACTCCAGCGCAGGTCCCAGGTCATGTTCATGCAGAGCTTCCAAGATTCGATTCAACTCAAGGAAAGGCTGCTTGAAATCCAAGTCCACATCCAGCGTGGATTCCTGTAGGAGAGAGCCCACTGCTGGGAGGAAGCGTCTCCGTAATTCTGTTAGGCCAATAAACCTCGCCAAAGACAGGCTAAAGCCAGCTGGTCCTGCCAGCCATCCTGGGCCCCTCTGGTTCCCATTTCACTTCTGGGGAGGGGGGACAGGTGCCACATGCTGACTCCCGAGTGCAGCCTGTAAACTTCACCTCCTCAGGGTGCTGGAGACAGCTCCCAGGCCCCCTGCTAAGTAGCATGATAAGAAAAGTATTCCCAGGGCTGGCAGGTGGCGTGGTGGTTAAGGAGCTAGACTCCCACATGGCTGACCATGATTCAAGTCCCAAACCTGGTGGCTTGCTTTCTCACTTTCTCTCTCTGGTCAAATTAACAATAATAATTAATAAAATTAAATAATTCTTTGGAGGAAAAAAAAGAAGTATTCCTTTTCTGGGCCAGTCCTGTGGCCTAGTGGTTAAGGGAGCCAATCCCACATGGCCAGCAGCACTGTTTGAGCCCCAGCCCTGGCAGTTTGAAAAACACGTGCCCAGTCTCAACAGGACGGAGAAACGGAGAGCTGCTGTGTGAGCAGACCCGGGGCAGCGCGTCCTCCCTGTCTCGTCATCACGCTCTGGTGGGCACAGACGCTCACTGTCGAGATCCTGAAACACAAGTATTTATTTGGGACCAGCAGGTGATGTGGTGGTTAAGACACTCCTACATGGCCACACATGGTCTGAATCCTGGACCCGGTGGCTTGCTCTCTCTCTTTCTCTCTCTCTATCCCTCTCTGCTCAAATTGAAATAAATAAGTGAATGAATAAATAAAGTTAAAATATTTTTTTTAAAAAGAAAAGAAAAGGCAAACAATTCATTTGAGACCAGATGGTAAAGCCAGAGATCCCCGCATCATTTAACAGATCCCACCGTGCCCCAACTCTCCTTCCTGCTG